GTGTATCCTGCCGCCATATTTCAACCCTCTTCATCGGTATTCCCAGTGATTCAATTCAGCATAGTATTCTGCATTAACAGCATTACAGATACTAAATTAAATAATGTAATGATTAAACAACATTTTTGTGCCCCGTATTTTTCTCTCTTTACTTGGAATAGTGGTTTGACTTCCAAGAATTTAGTATTGTTAAGGGAAGACAAGAAGTTCTGGGAAGAACCTACAAAGCATTCTTCTTTTAAAATGGTTCCATTCCTCATTCTACAGCTAAGTTACGAGAAATTACAAGTTAATGATTATATAACACGATGGTCTATTTTTGTATATAATGTACGGCAGTTTCAACTCTCCCAATGCCAAATTTGTTTGAAAGAACATCAAAGTTTTATAGCGTCCACGTGTTTGTATATCCCAACGGAAGTGGAATAGATGGATCGAGAGAAATCGAACTTTTCATTCAATAGCACGTGTTACAACGGAGACAAGAGACTTCAGCGCCCTCTGGCCGGTTACCCACTTTGTTGGGAAATAATGGTTAATTCATAAAATGGTTAGTGGTTGCACATATCTTTATGTTCCTAATACGAAATTTATCGCAGTGGCTTCGTTCAGTATTAGTTATTTGCTTTACGTCATGTTTAATAACGGAAAATTTATTTTCTCTTGCGTTTTAAAATAAACTTGACGAAGTTCACACACTATCAAAATATGTTTACATTTTCGTATGATTATTAAGTCCAAAGTAACGTTTGATGGTAATTATCTCTTGTGTGGAACGCTGCATAAGAGAAACGTCCATAATACAGCGTTGATGTTATGGAAATATCAGTTTTTTTAAAAGGTTTTCTTAGTAGATCTAGTGTATGTTTATGAACAAAATGGCCGATTTACAGGAGCCTTAATTTTTACGCTTATTTGATTTTACTTATCTGCGTCATTAGTGTTAATACGCCCAAATGTAGCTGTAATGTGTAGAGTGGCATCAACATTACGACCATCTGCTCATAGATCGTCCAAGTGGCCTCGGCTCCCTCATACGTGTTACATGCCCCGCCCATCTCACCTTTAAATTCTTCACTTTAAAGATACATAATTGGAGGTCCACTTTGGGAAGCCTCTTATCGTGCACTGATACCTGTCTTGCTCGTACTTCACGCGTCTTAGACCCAGTTGTCATTTTCAGTAGCCTACTGTCGAATACCTTCCAATCAAAGATTCGTCTAAAAAATTCAGTAAGGTCACTGAATATAAAATATAAATATATTTTCATGCAGACTAGAATTGTTTTAGTCCTGCAGGGCAAGGTTAAATTAAATTCTTGGTTTTCGTCTTACTTATTTGAAACTGGTTCGCATTTGTATGAAAAACAGCTTGTGTTTGTGTATGACTGACTAGTTGAATTATATCTAAGCAACTAAATGTTTCAGAACATTTTGTACGTTATTGTTTAATCTCTTAATGCTGAATTTTACGTAAGTATTCTGCATAGTGGACGACAAATCTCGTTCTTGGCATGGAGAAGGTTACGGATGTATTAATGACTTAATTTACAACATTGTTTTTGTTGGAAGTGTCGCATTTTTAACGGATAGGTATGTAAAATATGTTGTTTCAGTTACGTCTGTCTTAACACTGTGTTGTATCTTGTAATTGATATAGTCCTATGAGAAATACTATGTTGCTTGAAGGTTTCAGAGCTTTGTTTTAACATGTCTTACGCATGCTGTGCATATTCGTATCCTTCGCTTTGAGCTTTCAATACTTCCATGCAAACTGCAGTGTTAATTCTGTTGGTCTTTGAGACAGCAGCGCGTCTGTCATGCTTTTACAATTTCTGTCTTGGAACATGCATTTCTGCTTTGTGTACAGTATTGCGATTACTTTAAGAAATAATATTTACATAAAATCTTCTTTTCTTGGATGACATTTATTTTCTTCCTCGTTGTGCATTATTCTTTTTGTCTGGGAGTTATTAATAACAACAGAGTTAAATTTTATGTCTTCCCAACTAGTTTTAGTTTACTGTCAAGTGAATTTATTCGATCGTCGTCATCAGTGGTTATTAAATTTTTATGCTTAGTTTACTGTCAAGTGAATTTATTCGACCGTCGTCGTCATCAGTGGTTATTAAATGTTTATGCCACTAGCTGGAAAGACACCATTTGGTTTTCAGAGTACCAGTAACATGTCTGCCTCACATTACACAGTCTACAGACGAATTATTACTAGCATAGCTAAACATGAACACCACTGAATGTCTAAAAACGTCAAGGAAAATAAAATAGCAAAGTATGACACACACACTATTTAGTGTCTGAATATAAACCTGTAAGAGATCTTCTATTACGCCAAAGAGTACACCTGTCCCATCTTATTATATAAATTAATTACAAGTTGATCACAAAAATATGTTTTCTGCAAATAACCTTTCCTGAAGATTGGGCTTGAAGTTTAAATTAAGACATGAAACACATTCCAGTAAAATTCCATACGCGTTTGTTTGTACGTTCGTTGATGCTTGTTATGAAGTTTATCTGATGATGGGCACACATCATGGCTGCTTGTTTATCAGTAGGCGAAGTGTACTCTGAAACGTTAAACTGTGATGAGGAGCGACCATTTCTATTAAAATTCTAGATTTTTCCCAATCGCATTTTTATAAAGTGTGTGGGAGTAAGAGGGTTTACAGAGGCCTTACAGTGGAGGACACTCATTTAAACTACTTTAACATATTTTTTTCTTCCTTGAAAGCTTACGTAGGGCGAACCACAATGCAGCTAACATTATATACTCGCAGATTTACCGATATGAGGAGGCTTGGGACATTTTTTCTTCTGTCCTCATGTTTGTGAAAGTAAAAATTACTATGATTTTAACTGTTCTTTAGAACTAAATGCAGAGAAAATTAAGTAAGTTTATGCTCTTGTTTTGTCCTCCGACTATAGGACAAAATCATTATATACAGGGTGTTTGAAAAATAAACGCTCTGGGTTCCGTGAAAAGCAGGAAATTTCTTGGCTAGTTGAGCGTATTGTTGGCTTCTCAAGAAGGACTCTCTTCCATGGAGTTTGTTCGATGGTTGGTTAGTTAATTCGAAAGGGGTGTGGGGCATAGTGTCTTAATCTGGATAAATAACGTAGAATGACTGCGTTTGAGAACAAAATGCTAATCAGAATATTTGATTTTGAAGAGAAATAACTTGAAGCCGAAGACGTTAAGTCGCGTGAAGTTTTGCTCGTCACCAGTCCAACGATAGCCTCTGCGTCCAGACCGGCTCTGGGGCCCACCCAGCCTCCTCTACAGTGGGTACCGGGGGTCCTTTCCCGGGGGTAAAGCCGGCCGGGGCGTGATGCTGACCACTCACCCCCATCTAGTGCCGAGGTCAAGGAAGAGAGGAGCTATACCTCCACTCACCCCAAACGCCTACATGGCGTATAGTGGGACAAACTTTACTTT